TTATTTCATTCCCTTCTTAATTAAAGCTGCCACCCCATCATATGCTTTAGCCCATGCATTGTTCAAATCGTCGCTCCATTTGGCCCCTGCTGCTTCCTTCACTGTTTTTAACAGTGCCTCTTTCACCACCTAATGATATTCAAATTTCATTAATTGAACTTACAAAAGAAAACGAGGAAGATTTCAACTTATTTTGTATCAAACAGTAACATTTCTAATTGGTTTATGTTACCTCAAAATGGGGCTCAGTGACTCCTTTCTGGACATGTACAGAACTCAACTGCTTTAATGCTGGATCTGTTATGGCAACCCCTCCTTTCTCTTTCAGTTGAATTGCTGAGTCAAAAGTCTATAATTTCCAAATCACAAGTACTGTGTTAACGGAGATTGAGGACGTTATGCAGCAAATTCTTTTTGTGAAAAGAAATAATGGTATAATTTTTTCCCCTAGCTTTATATAAGAATTTTCTTATTGACGAAGTATATAAGCAACCAAAAGATATGTAAAGATCTTGCTATATATGTATAATAAGTTGATAAGAATAACTCTGAATCAGTCGAATGTTTTAGCATTTTTATGAACTTACCAACTTAAAAACCTTCAAGGCTTGGGCTTCTAGCTGAGGATTATTTTTGGGAACTTCACTTGCACCTTTCAAGAAAGGGAACAAGTCTTTCACTGCAGGTGCTGTTTGCACTAAACTGTATTATATATATCAAACAAAACCAAAAACAAATGATAAAAAATAACATATGTAGAGACCGAGAGTTAAAACAAATTAGAGTTGGACAGATATAATTAAAAGGAGTAGTAAATGGTAGCAAAGAATTATTACTGGGTGAAAAAGTAAAAACTATATTCGGGAAAACTTTTGGTCAAATCCTCCCATGAGATTTTGACCAAAGCCTCTTCCTTCTCACTTAAGCCAGCCATTGATGATCTTTAATTTGCTTTAATTATATGTATTGATATTCACAAAGCACACATAACTGGGGTGGAAGAGTATTCTATATATAGTGGATGCGAATCGAAGATGTGAAAAGAAGTTTTAAAATATATTTTAAATATAATGACATTTGTGTGCATTTGTGACAGCTGAAGAGCCAAGATTGGCTTTTAAGAGCATGCAATGTTCAAAATTTTGGGAATGAGAAGCTAATTTTCTACATGATATTTTCAAAGGTAACAATTTTGGATTCGAAGGGTTTGCTTCTATAAAGGCGGATGACTTTGAAAGCAAGGCAGATATGAATTAAAAGTTAAAAAAAAAAAAAAAAGAGTACATTGGCTTTGCATATCATCCATTGGTCAAGCTTTGGAATAACAAGATACGATGGGTAAATCAAGTTAGAAAAGAGTAAAATACACCTACCTCCCTTTTATTTAAATTTTGTTATAAATATTTCTTTTTTATTTTAATAAAATACTTAAAACTCCTAAAATCAAAAGTAATGTGAGAGACACCTCCCATTTACTTTTGAGCCTTCTTAAACATAATTATTATCTAAAAATAATTTGAACACTTATCTTGCCTAAAAAGTGACTTCAATATATATTTAAGTTTTTCATCATTTATCTTGCCTAAACATATTTAGAGAAAATAAAAAATCTTGTCTTCAAAAGGGAAGCACTGAAAAATCAAATGATGAATATTCCGATTAATGTTCATGCAAATATTAATTGATACTACTTTCGGTCATTCATATAAAAGCTAGTAAGCGATTAATTTGTCCTAGGTATAATACCTCCATGTACTTTGTCTTTCAAAATTATAATTTTTCTCTAAGATGTCCCTGTTAATTGTAAGAGATTCCCACCAAGAGGTAGTTCCAATGAGCATGATTAAAGATGATAGTTTAAAAAAGTCGACATACACGTGTTACAATTAACCTACTTAACTAATTTTTTTAATATCCTCAAATCAGTTATCTAATTTTTATATTAAAGACTAGAGGTAGTATCATAAGGAACAAATGTTATATGTTTTGTAAATATTTGTTAATGTTAATTTGTTAATAAAATACTAAACAACAATTTATGTTAGCTGTTATATATTTAAAATCAATCCCTTATGTATTTACTTTTATTCTTTTGTTTATCTAAAATTTCAAAATATTAATTATTACTCAATATTATGCAGATATATTGACATATTGTGGTGTTTTTTCTACACTAGGGATATATTTCTTACCCATATATTATTATATATGTTTATAATATTATTTTTAATTTAATTGTTGTGGCAAGTAGCAACGGTTCAGCTGATGATCTAATTGGTTGAACCAGGTGATCCTCTTATCTCGAGTCTAACGTCCGGTTCAACTCTTAAGGCACTGATCTTGTCGATGAACCAATTAAATACAGCCATCTGTGTGTATAGGTTTCATAGCTCAGGCATTGCTTGACAAAATGTCTGCATTACCAAATTTCAAGCTTTACTATATAATCGAAAAAACCCTGAAAGCATTCACAAAGGAGCACCCAGTATTTGAAAGTTTTTTTTCTGGCTATACTCTAAAAATTTATTTTCGTAGCAAAAATATCCTAGTCGTTATTCGCCGTTAGGTTTGACCCTGAAATTATATGGTTTGACCAGCGTCTTTAACAATCAAACTTAATGACAAGTAATAGCTCAAGACAGAATGCTACAAAATAAAACTTACAGGGTATATAAGAGTCAAAAAAATACTTTCAAGTATTGGGTACTCCTTCGTAGATACTTCCGGCCAGGGTCAATGTGGGATGAATCGGATGAAAGTAAAAATTATGTATACGTTATAGAGACAGAGTTAGAGTATATCAATGAGCTAACTCAAGTTAGGGAAGAGAGTTGAGAAGGAAAAGCACACAAGTTATCTTGGTACCCAATCCATAATAACCTACATCAAATCCTTGGTAATTCCTAGAGATTTTCAAATATATTGATTCCCTCAAGTTTAACACAGGTACTTGAGAACTGTTTTAACTCCTTCAAATTTGCTAGGGTATTTGAGAACCACTACCCCTTCAAATTTCGTATAGGTACTTGAGAATCTTTACAACTCTCTCAAGTTTGATCCAAGTACTTGAAAACTACTCTTACGATCTGTAAGGTAACAATCTGTTTCTCACTCAAGATGAAGGTTGGTAAGTAGGTGTTAAAGACAATGAACTTCTCGATGGAGATTACGTCCTTTAGTAGAGCCAAGGTAGTTGAATGTTGCGAGCATTAAATGAGCCTGACAATAAAGTAACCTCATGGGGTCATTAGTCTCTAGAGCTATAATCGTTAAGTAATTCATAATACATTATCTCAGTTTAGACACACTTAAGGAAAATTTTCAACAACTTCGGTTAAGATTGGATAAATGTCTTGAAGCATTGCTCTGACGCAAAGCAATCTCTTACTCGAGTGGATTGCGGCCCAATTCAGGTTGGATAAACAATGAAACTCCGTGATTTGATATATCCAAATGATATAACCGAGTAAGTATGGGTAGGAATTTCAAGTAAGAATGATATAAAGATATGGAAGATCAGGCACGGATCATTAATAATAATCAGGTTAGGTGAGATTGAGGATAACTTTCAATTAAGCTAATGGAGTTCAAAGAGATTAATTTGTAAAAGAGAAGCTTAACAGGATTCGATCTTAGGTTAACCTTAAGATATACTCCTCTTGTTCTATTTAATCCTAGTATAAGGCATTTGATCTATTTTTCATGTCGATATATAAAATTACGCTTATTAAGTTATTGGGACTTATTCCTTTAAAGTCATGTATTTTCTTCACTCCTCTCCAATGCTAAATATCCTTCAATTTTAGGAGAATTACAATAAGGTCTTAAGAAAAAAAAATAATTATTAAAAAACCTCAATAATAACCTAAGCAACCTGTAATGACAAGTTTCTATATAAAAAATAATAACTTTTAAAAATTGTTTTGTAGTTATTTTTCTTCTTTGAGAGCTCATTGTAATTCTCCTTTCAATTTTTTCTTCTTCCTCTGCCGTTATTCTCGTCTCCTCCAGTACACATCTTCTCTCTCTCTATTCACCTCTTCTACTCCTTTGTTCCCATGTCATTACTTCTTTCCATGCACATGAGATCTGACTCTTGGAAATAGAGTAGTATTTAGAATATTTAGAATATTTTTATTTTTAAAGTTTTAAATAGGGGTAAAATTAAAAAGTAGTTATATTTTAAAGCAAAATTAATGCAGTTTGATATTTTTCTTATTCTCTATAAAATATGTTAAAAGTGCCTTATAAATAAGAGTAAGAGAATAATAAATAATCTAAATGACAAGCTAACTTAAGATTAAGAGAGAATACTTGACTCGAGTTACTTGGAAAAAATAATTATAAAGTAAGCTTTGTAAGTTGAGTTAGCCTTGGATTGACTTAAAATTAAAACATTTATGAGAACCAACCAAGGTGAACTAACTCAAATTGAAAGTACATAAGAAGTTGGCATAAACCCGAATTGATGAACTCGAGGTCAAAAACTAGGACTTGAAGTTGACATATCAATTATAGTTTTGACTTGGGTAGATAAGAACTAACTACGAATTATAAAAACGAAGTCTTGTATGGGCATGATTGAATTACCATCAAAATTTAAGATCTTACCAAATGGTTAAACCATGAAGGTTATATCCATTAGATAACTGCAAGCATCTAATTAACGCAAGCGAAAGCGTCAACATTTTTGACAATGCATAATATAATTGTACAATTTCAGGGCATGTTTTGCGCACCCTATATGTTAAGACTTGATAAGATAAAACCAGATAATTAAAGTTATATCAACCTAAGAATCAAAGTTCAACCTTGATTTATGTCAACTAAAAAGCTCCATCTCAAATAAAAAGGCACCAATAATGTAGACATAAACGCCAATATTTATTCCTTTTGCGTAGTATTACACAAATAAAGATTACATATATATTTCTTTCTCACGTATTTCTTCTCACGCATAGCTCTTATGAGAGTTCATACATAATATATTATAGGGATAATAATAAGTTGTTTTTTGTATACGTATATATGATAAAAGCTTATTTGAGTATTGTGTCATCAACACTATATTTATTTCATTCCCTTCTTAATTAAAGCTGCCACCCCATCATATGCTTTAACCCATGCATTGTTCAAATCTTCACTCCACTTTGCTCCTGCTGCTTCCTTTACTGTTTTAAGCAGTGCCTCTTTCACCACCTAATGAAATCCAAATCACCGTTATTTCATTCACTGAGCTTACCAGATAATAAAGGAAGTTTTCAACTATATTTTGTATCAAACAGTGACATTTCTAATTGGTTTGTGTTACCTCAAAATGGGGCTCAGTGACTCCTTTCTGGACATGTACAGAACTCAACTGCTTTAATGTTGGATCTGCTATGGCAACCTCTCCTTTCTCTCTCAGTTGAATTGCTGAGTCAAAAGTCTTTAATTTCCAAATCACAAACATTAGTTCATATATTTATGATGGTATCATGTGCCATTATTATGGGAAAAGGTAAACACTGTGTTGAGGTAGCTAAGGAGGTTTGTTCTTGATTAATACCTCAAATTCATTTTATAACTAATGGTGCAGCTTTTACCCCTAGCTCTATGTAAGAATTTTCTTATTGACAAAGTATATAATCAACCAAAAGATGTAAATTTATCTGTCACAAGAAGGACAAAGAAGGGTTCATTCTTCTCTTTTTTTCTTTTTTCTCTTTGTTTTAGCATTTTTATGAACTTACCAGCTTAAAAACCTTCAAGGCTTGGGCTTCTAGCTGAGGATTATTTTTGGGAACTTCACTCGAACCTTTCAAGAAAGGGAACAATTCTTTCACCGCAGGTGCAGTCTGCACTAACCTATTCGACCAAACCAAAAAAAAAACTGTTACAAGATAGCATACATACATATATATATATATATATATAGAGAGAGAGAGAGAGAGAGAGGGAGGGAGAGTTGTATCAGAGAAAAAATAGAACACATATATATGCGCCAAGTGAGAATGAGTAAATGAAAAGGAATTAGAGGTTGAGAAAAATAATTCAAGGGAATTGCAAAGAATTATTACTGGGTGAAGAAATAAAAGCTATATTCGGGAAAATTTTTGGTCAAATCCTCCCATGAGCTTTTGACCAAAGCCTCTTCCTTCTCACTGAAGCCAGCCATTGATGATCTTCAATCTGCTTTAATTGTAGGTATTTATACTCACAAAGCCCACATAGCTTGGTTGGAAGAGTAATTCTATATATAGAGGATGTGAATCGAAATTGTAAAAGAAATTTTAAAATATATTTTAAATACAACGACATTTGTGTGCGTTAGTGACTATTGAAGAGCCAATATTGGCTTTTTAAAGCATGCAGTGTTCAAAATTTGGGAATGAGAAGCTAATTTTTCTCATGATATTCTCAAAGGTGACAATTTTGGATTTGAAGAGTTAAACTGCAAACATTGGCTTTCTGTATTATCCATTGGTTCATCTTTGGAATAAAAAAACATATTATGGGTAAATCAAGTCAAAAATGGTAAAATATATCAACTCGCTTTTATTTTAAAAATCTATATAGACCTCCCAAAGTAAAAAGAAATGTTAGGCACAACTCTGATCTATTTTTAGGATTCTAATTCTATTCATCTAATCATATACGTTAATTGAGTGTTCAATAATATATTGCGATCCTTCTTTAACATAAATATTGTTTAAAAATCATTTAAACACTTATTTTGGACCAAAAAAAGTAAACATGACATTTATTTAAACTTTTCATCATTTAATTTTACAAATCATGTTAAAATTAAAAATGTAAAACATACATGATGTATAATAGAAATATTATTATACTAATTAAATTGCATTGCAAATTTTTTATTTACACGATATTTGAAGTTGCATTTGTTAGATTTCCATCCATATCAAGAATAATAAAGAACTACAGACACTTAGTTGTGAGATAGAGCAATACATATAGTTTTTATCAAAAGATATGTTTTGTTTGGTATGTAAGATCAAATTATATAAAGTATGACCATATTTCTTGCTAATAATGTTAAAATCATCTTTATTAAACTATGAATTTATTAACTAGCTGTCCTAGATGTATTAATAAATTTAAGACTAACAAAAAAAACCAATGACCAATGATAATATTAAATAATAGATGTTTTTATTAAATAATAGATGTTTTAACGTATAATTTATATGGTAAAATTATTTTTAAAATAAAATTATACCCATTTAAACTTCCAGAATATTGCGTGTAAAATACCTTAGCTACCCTTTTTATTTTACTTTAATGACACAGATATCTCTTCTATTTTGAAAACATGCATTTTAGACCAAACCATTAATACCATTGAAAAATATTCTAAGAAGATTCTAAACATATTTCTTTTTTTTAATCAAATTCTAAATATTTCTTTTAACTATTTATATGTAATCTTATTAAACTTTTAGTATGAATATACTATTTTGTCTTTCATTTATTATAATATATTTTTTAAATGTGTATATATTAAATAAGGATAGAGTTGGAAAGTTATTATATTTCAAAGAGTTTATGCAGTTTAAAATTTTCATTGGTCTATATAAAATACTCCTCCGGTCCTTAATATAGGACCTAATTCTTGAATTGGTTTTGGTCCTAAATATAAGACTTATTTCTCATATTTATCAATTTTCTCTAAATTACCCTTATGGATACTCTCTCAACCATAATCAAGTAGAAGAAGGAGAAAGGTATTAAGAAAGATGATTATGGTGTTTTAGGAAAAATGTGTCACTTTTCTTAAAATTAACTAACTTAACTAATTTCCTTACTCTAATCAAATTAGTTAAATGGGTCTTATATTAAGGACCAGAGGAGTATGTTAGAAGTACCATATAAATAGAACCAAAAAAATATATTAAAAGAAACCTCATTTACTAACTTTCCTATCGTCATACTAAAAAAGTGTTTGGAATACCTCAAAATCACTTTAAAAAAAATGCTTTCTAGTAAATTGAAACAAAACTCCCCTCAAATGCTAACTTTATACACTGTAAAATCACTTTAAAACCATAATTTGGCTTCCACCTATTTACAAAATATTTGTTTAATATTTTGAAAAAAATTAAAAATTAAATAATTGTTTACTTTTAAAGAATCAATAATGTGATAAAAATTTGAGTCTTTTTTAACAACTCAGTAAAAGTGTTGTAAATGTTGTTGGTAGTGTAATCGATGATATTAAACATGCATGACACTCGAGTATTTTTTGAAGTGTTAAAATTGTCAAAAGTTATTGTAAATCGCGTTGATGAAGTAGTGAAACACAATAAATGTATTGTAAGTGCCGCCGGTAATGTGGTAAATTATTTTTAACATATCGTTATCTTATATACTCCCTCCGATTCAAAATATAAGCTAAGATTGGCTCATTTACATTTATCAAGAAATGAAATAAAAGCAGTTTAAAACAATAAATGTGTAAGGTGTATAGATATATTTTCCACATATGCCCTTATTTATTAAAGCTTCTCTCTTCTATTCACATTGTTTAAAATACTTTTCTCTCTTCTTACGCCTCGTAAATTAGCCACTTTCTATAATTAATGTCATCAATAACTAACAAAAATTAAAAGCATATGTTAGGGGTAAAATTGGAAAATACTCATTAAATGGTTAGACAAATTTGAAATGTCATCTTATAGGGAAAAAAAAAAAAACCAAAGTCCCTAACCGGAGGGAGTATTATATTATTCTACTTTGTAATCATAAAGAGGTTTGGTGGCTTAATGGTGACTAAGTGTTCTGGAATCTAAAGATAATGGAATCAAATCCTACCTTGGTTTGAATTTTGGAAATTGATTAGGTCTTGAATATTCTACTCATGCTATATTTGATCTTTAATATAAGAGTTAGTTTAATATTCAATTTGTTGTCTCTCATATTTATATCCATTTTTTCAAAAAAGTACTTGTAGTAGTTGCACATATTAAATTTTATATCAAACGGTAATTTTAGCTAATATAAATAATTAGTAAAGGTATTCTCGGAATGACCACCTACTTAATAGAAATAACTAATTTAATTAATTTTCTCGATATACTCATGTTAGTATCTAACTCTTGTACTAAAAAACTGAGGTAATACTATCTATCTAATTTCAATCTAGATAAATGTTAAAAATTTTAAATATTAGCAAAAACCATATTGGGGCTACCTATGATAAATACATTTGAAGATAATAATTTCATATCCGAACCAAATACTCCTCCTAATATATCATAAAATATTGTCTACCTAATTTAAACCGAGATAAAAGTTACATTTACTAAATATTATTAGGATGTGATGATATATGCATTAAAAATAATAATCTCACATCCGAACCAAGTGGAAGTAATCCTCGTAATGTATCATATAATCATCATCTACCTAATTTAAATCTGGATAAAGGTATTATTTATTAACAATTATTGCAAATGGTATAGACATTAAAAAAAAAAATTCACGTTTGAATAATTCCGTACATGACTTCTGAAGCACAGAGAATTGCACAAATTGTCCCCCTCACTTTTCAAGTTGTACTTTATTTTTTCAGATGAAGGCGTAATACGTAGCAGCCTGAAATATTTGCTCATATGCATTTAATATCCCAAAATATTTTGCAATACATCTAATATCTTAAAATATTTTTAGTATAATTTTACACTTAGCAATTTAGGATGTTGGATTTATTAAAAAAGTAATATAAAGTGCTAAATACACCTGAAAAAAATACTTCAAAATGCTGTATACACCAAAATATAATTTAGAATGTTAGACACAAATGAATTGGAAAAATAGTTTAGGTGACGAATGCACCTTAATCTTTTATATATTAAACATATCATACTCTAATGCCATGAGCAAAGATAGGAGGGACCGATTTATATGAAGTTTATGTGCTTTTTTAATACCGGCATCCCCCATTCTTGAATCCTAACTCAACAAATCTAATACTCTTCCTAACTCAACAAGAGCCTAAAAGAAGTTATCATCAAGCTCTTCTTAGAAACATCAAGAGATTAATATACAAATTTTCGACAAATATAAAACTTAAAGACTCCTACTATAGAATGTCTATCTAAGCCAAATAATTATAGGACCCAAATGTTCTTTCAAATTTGCCTTCCTCTATTTCAATTCATCTTTACTTCACCTCTAATTCAGTTAACCATCTGATCAAATTCGGACAGCACATAGTGAAGTGGGACAATCGTCAAATTGAAGTAAATAAATAAATTTGCACTGTTGAAATTTGATCTAGACAGTCCAAAAATAGAAGTGGAGGGAAGTTGAAATGGAATTATGAGGGACTGGGTTTCATGATGGTATCAGTAAATAAAACACAATTGATTTCTTAAGCAACATAACTAGAATGGCACAGGACGAAGCTAATACTTGCAAACCAATAAAGTTCCATAACTTATGTCCCTACAAATTAAGATTAAAATTAACATAAAATATGAGAAGGGTTCTACATAGTTTAGTCTCACAAGGAAATAGTACAGTCTAATTCCTGGGCAGCTGCATGAAGAAACTCAATAGACAAGCCATTGGAAAGACGGTTGTGAGCTTCCCAAGACAAGCATTTTTCTACATCAGCTTGCCAATCAATCACATACATATTGAAGAAATGATAAGAGGGATTAGGGTTGCGGGTGCCTTCTATTCTGGCCAGTTTAGGACTGGGTCTGATTGAGCCTGTGTGTAAAATATCTCTAAGTACCGATATGCTCAGAGCCCTCACAAGTGCACTGGAATGAGAAAGGCATTTAACAGTAGCTGGTAGGCGACACTGCATGTGATTGCACAGGAACCATATCAGGTGACAGTTAGATTCTGGCCTAAGCCCAGTATTAATTTCTATACAAATAAAGGTTGGCTCAAAATTGGGAAAAAACTAAGTTTAGAGAATTTAACACAACTTCTTAATTAGAGCGGCGCATTTTGATGCTCTTGTTCATGTGTTTTTTCTTTCTTTCTTTTTTTTTTTTTGGGGGGGGGGGGTGCTGGTGTGGTTCCAAATCAAACAGACATAGACCCTCCTACCCATTGATTTGTTAGTGTTACGCTGGATGATAGAATATACGTCTCCTACAACATACTGCTTATGTAATGATAAAGTAGTGTGACGGTGTGTGAACCTCAGTTATAGAGAAGAGTTGTTGCACTCACTCAAACTATTCCTAGCTAAGCCTAAGAATTGCACAGGTCCAAGCCCAACATGATGGACTTGAATTCCAACTCATTCGCCCAAATGTTAAACCTAGGCCCAAGGCCCAAGCTAGCTCACTATCTTGGACCAAGTATACGCCTATAGGCTGGCCTACTCTTCTGACAACTTCAGTCATGAGCGGTGAGTTAGTTAACAAGTAACTCGCATGTCGTGCATAATCAAAGCCAGATTTGCAATTTTCAACCAAAACAATATCATTAAACATGGGTATGGTTTAAATGGAAGTGTCCACAAGGGATGATTTATTTACCTTCAACAGGTTTGAGAGGCCACCTGCCAATGCAAGTCCAGATTCTCCGAACTCCAGGATTGGCCGAACTGCCTTAGCTGTAGCTTCCAATAACTGGCCCATTTTATCAGAAGATTGAAATACGAGAATCAGTAAAAACCAAGTTATGCTCATCTTGAAAAGTAGCAGCAATAAGCCGATACTATCATCTCAACATTGGTTTTTTTTTTTTTTTTTTTGACCAAATCAACATGGGTAACTGGAAACTTTTGCATTAAAAGCCACAGGAGGAAGCAAAGAAACTACAATTGAGTGCTTATTCAATTATTCAGTCGTATTACAGCATCAAGTATCTGTCCTTTTATCTTTGACAAGAAATCCATTAAGATAAAAAGCTTCAAAATACCAAATTAGGGTGCCACATTGAGGGGAAAATGTCAAGTGTGTACGGATGTGTTCTGTACAAAATCACGAAAATTAACAGATGCCAGTATCATGGCGGAATAATATTGAACAGTTCTAGTTGCCAAAATAGAATTATATGATGCAAATGATTCATTATATAAAAAGCAACATATAAAAACGAAGTTCTGTTGCCATGCAGTCATCAAGTAGAGTGAAATTAATCATTTAAGATACTACCTCCAACTGGGGTAACGTGCAAGCTTCTCCATCAACCAGCATCCCATCAGTGGCTCTTAGTAGTAGATCCGATGCGCTAGCTACAATTACCATTGATTCTGCATTATCATGATTCCTCATTAGCTCCACTATCAACTTTACAATTCGCTGGTTGCTTCTCCACATCTTCTGTCCTACATCATCATCTCTGGCAATCCAGGGCTGCAATTTCCTCCCTGCCTGATAAGCAACCAGCACAGGTAAGCGATTATGGTAAAACAACAATAAAAGGGGGCCTCGGGAAAGGGGGGGGACTGTTGATTTGGACATCAGATGAAATCCCCAGCAGGAGATTTTTGAAATTTCTAGGCATAATGAAAGTTTGAGTTCATTGGAATATGAATAGTAATTCGGCAAGTTGAAAAGTGTGGTGTAGAAATGGGAATATTTTTATCAAGACAGAAGCAGTAAGTCAGTGCCAGGGTAAAGATTCAAGAAACTATTTTGTGAACTGCTGGAAAAATCTGGACCTGAAGCACAATTGCTGTAGCTGCTTTTGTTGGTGATGCTGATACAACATTGCATAATGCATCAACAACCTACATAAAAAATGATCAATGATGCACCATTTCAGTGAAAAAAAAAATTATACAAATAAGGCTTAGAACTCCTCAAAAATGCTAAAGGATATAAAAACTTATATCTATAAATATTTCTTGATGCATCACTACTGGATCTGTTTATATAATTGAGCAAACCCTTCAACACTTCCATTTTCCCATGGTTGAAGTTGATATTGAAAAGAAATGATTGGTAAACTTGGGCTTCATATCCTCCTCAATTTTACTGTCAATGTAACACATTTTACAGGATACTTGCATGGTTATTCTTAAACGTCACTCATCTATTAATAATGTACTATACTTGTTTCATTGATTCTTCTCATCCTTACTGAGGGTAAACTTGATATGTTTCAGCTATCAATAAAAGCCATTCGGTTTGGTAGATTTTGCAACACTCAGTTCCTTAACAAGAAATCAACTTTCAAGAGTTTAGAAATATCCTTGCCATCACTATTCACTATGATCTGATTGGCAACTGAGATAAACGAACCACCCTACTCAAGTCTTGCATTGAGCAACTCATACTACTTCATATGAAACTCAAGTATTTCATAGTCCATACTACCCTGGTCCCTATCAATTGACTACCCTTAGTCAGTCAACATCCTCATAACACTTCAATCATCCTTCCCCAGATCAGAATCATCTATAGAGAGTACTTTTGGGAGCTACTAATCACCAGAACTGATATCAAATGGTTGGCATCCAAATGGGAGTGAGAAAACCTCCCCTAAGAGCTAATTATTGAGGGACGAGAACCCCTTAGATGCCATATTACTTTAATCCCTATCACTATCTAATAATCTGGTTAGACTAGAATCTCATCGCAAGGTTTAAGCGGGCTACTTGCATGTGACTTATGTCCCTGCTTCAAGCCAGGGACATAAGTGCTTTCACATCAGGTTACACTGACGGTATTTATAAAAGCCATTCATGGGCATTCTACTAAATGCTTAAACTTTTTGAAATAGTCAATTACCTAAGGATATATCTGGTCTCAATTGCAAATTGTTTTGGCATGTTGCTACTTTCTGTGTAATGCAGACAATTGACCTAACGTATAAAAGCATTTGTGATGGAAAGGAGAGCTTCCTTGTGAATATGAGAATATTTTTAACACGTCGCACTAGGAAATATTCAATTCTTTGCAGAGAAACTGTTTTGAAAGTTTAGGTTTAGGTTGCCTTTTTTACCCTTCCTGTGTACAAAGGATATGCCTCTACCATCCTCATCTACAACTTCAAGAGTCTGATTCATATGACTATCTAGTATTGTTAAATCATGAAAACCATAAATTTAACATCCGTTGTAAAGTAAATTCTTCCAAATTTCTAACACAGGCAAAGGAAGAATAATTGCTACATCAGTTAAAAGATACCTGTCTCCATCCCTGTTGGGCAGAAGTGCTTTCCACGCAAGGTTGTGTTTCAGGAGATGCAATTAATTTGTGCCATAGCAGTGAAACAACTGAGAAACATAATTCTTGTTTCTCTGCCAGCATGGATCTCAGAAGTATTTGTGTGCTGCAATTAAATCCTATATACCTGTCCATGGTAAGGAAGTTGGCTAGATCCGAAGCATCCAACGAGAAACTTGTGATACCTTTACCCAATGCATACCCTGATGCTTCATTTGAGTATGAACCTTTGGCAGATCCATGATTAGGTTCAGAAGGGGTTAAATCCTCCTGAGAAAGTGAGACAGATGTCTGCCCAGGATCAAAGCAGCGAGTGTTTTCAGATTGATTTTCTCTGCCAGCATGAATTAAGTTTGCTTCCAATGGCTGCGCCTTGTTAACAAATGATGCAACTGTTTTTCTGTGAATGTCTATGAGATTGTATAAGGACGATGCCCTAGAGTGAATTTCATTGTCCCATCTGCACCGCATCAAAACAGACAGAGCATGCATGCAAGCTTTTGACTGTCTGAATAATTCAGAAACATGGGCAGCGACCATCGCTGCAGCAACTATTTCATTTGAGCTGTGACTCCATGGAGTGCCAACAGAAGATGGCTTCAATGAAAATAACGCCTCTAGAATTGTTAAAATTCGGCAAGTGTGGCGTATTGCTGAATTTATACCACTTTGCAAATCATGTGATGATTTATTCACCTCAACAGGCTTGGATTCATCTTGTACGTTGGTGGATGTTGAGTGGTTGCTCCCTGTTGAAACCAAAGGGAACAACTGAAGCTCACAGGCAAGAGCGCATACAGCAGCCAAAACATAGGAATCAAATGCGGCCACAGGGCCTTGTTTCTTCAACTTCTTATTATTAGTTTCTTTCTGACTTTCAGATATTGCTTGCACGTCCCCAGCGCTTTCCTCTGCCAAAGAATTATCTTCACCTCTTGGTTTCTCACTTCTGTTGAATCGTGCTTCATGACTAACACAAACTGTTAAAACAACAAAAAGTAGACGAGAAGCTAGTTCTACAGATGCACACGATTCTAAAAAGAGTGAATGGATCATAGTACGAAGTTCTGCCACAGCAAGGTTTTTGGAAGCAGACTCCATTCCAGAGAAGTATCTAGTTTTCCTGTTATGTTCTCTGGATGGCTCAGATGGAAATGTCCTCTTTAGAATAGATTCAACCGTAGCAACAAATATTTTCATTAGACAAGCTTCAGAGGGGCTCCCGCAAGGAAGATATTCCAAGACCTTAAGAAGAGGTATATACAAATTCCAAGATAGTATCGGAGTTTGCAATGGAGTAGCAACAACTATCTCTGGAAGATCAACAGCCGATGAACTCAAAGGTATCAGACCATAAGCTGCTTCCCAGATGGTACAGATTCTCCATTCAACCTCAGGACCATGGGCACAAAGCATTGATGCAATGCCTTGGGCAGTAGCCTCAATAGTAGCTTCAGCTGCAGGAACTTCTATCTGATCAACAAAAATCATATTTTCAGTATAAAATACAAAATCATCATCAAAGCAAAATAAAAAGAAGGATGTGCTACTGAAGATGAACAATACCTGCTTTCTATAGGATGAAACGTAACCACCCAAAGGTTCATGCTGAACTTCAATTCCATCAACTTGCCTAAGCGGAGGAAATAGTAATGCAGGTTGTGAAAGGATGCGGAAAAGCAAAGCAGCTGCAGCATCAGCAGCTATACCAGCTCTCATGGACATTGCAGTCCCTATAGCACGCAGGAAATGCAAATGCATCCAATTTCTAGGAAGCTGTATTAACATATAAAACAACACAATGGTTAATATACAATTAAAATGAAATCTTTAAAAACCACCATAGCCTGCCTCCCGTCTATTTCATAATACATACCTTAGTCCAATTTTATTTTCCCCTCACAAAAATACCCTCCACAATATGTAAAAGGATGCTTTAGTTTGAAAAATGTGTCTTGAGTTAATTGAGGGTGTTTTAGTTAAAATATATATATAATTGAACTAAAGTATAGCCTGATTAATTTTCAAGGGAGGTCCAAATAATTTTTGTAAAACTCAGAGGATTGACGTGTAATTTAATCTTTCAAGCAATTGCCAAAACCTTGTGTCTAAGTAATAGGGCTTTGCAAAAAAGTTGAGAAATAATCACCTATCTTCTATAATGCTCAAAACTGATTACCAATTTAGCATCTAAGCAAATTTTTCCTGCCTCAGCATATCAAATTTATACAGCTTACCCTAATGCCAGATGCATAATCTTCAGCAGCTCGAAGAAGCTCCACAAGCTGCACGGCAGCATCAAGTGCATCAGGAGCCCATGATGGGGGAGCCTCTAGCAATCCAAGAAGTAGTCTTTGCGTGGCACTTGGAGTAGCTATGGCATAATATCTAAATAAATTAGGCATGTAGGCTTAGTCAGATATGTACACCCAAAGACCAATAACCGCAAAAGGTAAAGAGTTTAGAACAACCTATGAAATAAACGTGCATATGGTTCAAGAGCTGGTAATCCTGCAATAAGATGCTCATCCAAAGCTGTTGTGGGAGGAGGAAGTAAGAGGGCAGGGACAGCTGCTGCTGTTAAAGTAGCAGTCTCATAGCGAGCTACTTCATCATCACAAACACTTAATATAACACCAGCACCATTGGCAACGGCCCACCTAGGAGTTGAAGGCATGAGCTGAGGATGTTTTCCAGAACCACGGGAAGAAGCTAGAGAATTTTTTTAAAAAAAAGTGATATTAACAAATCTGTTAGAGAAATCCTCCATATTAACAACATAAGTAAGAAAATAGCATGACAGTACTAATAAATAATCTTGTTTTATTGGGGAAAATTATCAACTGATTTGTTCCTGGATAATTAAAATGATGAGTGAGTGTAAAACTCCTACATGCGTTCCAAGTGTTTTTTTTTTTTTTTTAAATGTGAATTGGGTCCAAAGGGTTCCAAGTATTTTGAAGTTTGTCATTAGAATTATATTAGAGGAGCAATATTTAGATTTACTATAGGCAAAGTGGCATTATCAAGTTATTTTAAGTATCAAGATGCAATTATATAAAGAGAAGATAAAAGACAAATAACAATTAAAATATTCAAAAGATCATTGTAACAAGAATAAAGACAGAAGTTTGAACTTGAATGCCTAACCGCAATTGGAAACCATCCACATATAGCAATTTCCATTGTCCTTTTTGGAGCCAGCATCCACTAATTTTGGCACCAATTAGTGGACACCCAAATAAGGCAGCAATGTGACTTTCCCCAAAAAGTGGGGGATTGGTGATTTTAAGCAGGTATTTTCCATCATTTCCTTCTTTTTATAAGTTAGGCTTTTTATTCCTTTTCTAGTTCCTTATGTCCATCCCCTATGTTTTGCTATCTCAGCATTTATCCTGTACTGCATGTTTTGTGGAATTATATTGAAAAATGCTTAGCTTTTATTTATTCTGTATTGTGCTAAGTAAACAACTATCTCAAAGAACATCTCAAGTATTTTAGTATGAATGTCTCGCACATTATTTTAGTATTGTGTAAAGAAATCATAAAGAACAGCAAGTTATACAAAAAACTAAAAAAAAAAAAATTTAAAAAAAAATCAGGATTTAACTTACCAGCTGCAGGTGGCCTGAGTTCTCCTGCAGCATATTTACCCATAACACCACTGCACCTGCCAATGCATGAAAATATAAATTTGACCTCTGTGCACTTAAAGCCCCAGGGGTAAGCAAGCCATTGATCACATTTGTTACAACAAAGAGGCTTGATAATTACTTTCAACTAAATGGTCTAATCTAATTACTTCATACAACAATAAACCAATAGAAGATCCAACCAAAGTTGGTAGCTTGGTGCTAAGCTTTTTCATTTAGTTAAAAATTAAAGAGTTAAAACCAAAATCAGGCATGTTGCTGTAGCACATTTTACCAGCAGAAAAATATGAAATGCAAATCCATCGCCCACCCAAGGATAACGCTACAGTTTAATTACTTAAAACTAATGAACATGAGTCCAAATACTTCCTTTTTATCTCTTTATTGCTTGGAACATTCTCCACAAAAGACACAACAACTAAGCTCAAGATACGTACATTTGCACCAAACAAATTGAACCACACATCAAGCCTACCAAATCTAATTCTATAGCTGGCAAGCAGGTGGGGATGGCAATGGGCATGATAACGTGGGTCTTCAAAAATTGTCCTAAATCCATTCTTTTATATTGTCTTGTACATGTCTCATGATGCTGTGGGGTTTTATTCTTTCTGCCACACGTGCAAACTGGCAAGTATTCTTTCATCCCACATCCAGCCTACCCCAAAATAAGAAAGATAACAACTTTTCTCTTCCGAGAAAACATCTTTCAAAATCAACCTGTTCGTCCATATAGGAAAAATTTTCACAAGAAAGAGAATTACAATCAAGGGAAGATCAGGCATTTAACAAAACAGGGGGGAAATGCAATAACTCCATCCAGACTCACTATAAAATATTTATTCAAAAAAGGAAAAAAGGAAACAGAAAAGGCAGGAGAATCAAAAATGCTCCAATGATGCCTAACCTCGTAGCCTTAGAAAAAAGCATGCGATAAAATAAACATCAAATGGAAGCTAAAAATACAACCCTTTCACATCCCATACTTAATCAGAGAAAGTAAATATTTTCAACCAAACAAAAGAACTTATAGTTGTTCGCACCATGAGAATAGAGAATAACATGCTAAAGCTTTATCAAAGCCAAAATGAAAACACTCTGAATAATAAAGCTTAATCTACAAGAAGAACCTAACGATGCCTAACATGCTAAATGACAAAGCCTAACTGAATTTATTTACCTTTCTCTTCTTAAAACTAATAACTTTTGCAGGCAACAGTCATACCTAGATGATTTATATCACCTAACAAAAGAAGAAAAACCAAATCATAAGTCACTTCATATTCATAAAAGTACTCACCAGCGGAAATAGTCACTTCTAATTCCCAGGGGTGCAGCCAGCAATATGTCAGTAATCCAAGGAGACAAAGGCCTAACAGGCTTCTTTTCTTGTGGTGTGGAATGATGGCTAGATTCCCCATCAACAGCATTACTTGTTGTTGCATGGCTTCCACTGGTGCTTCTTTCTGTTATGCTATGTTGCCTTTCTATTTTGAACATGGGGCGATTGTAATGAGTTAAAATTCTCAAAATTTCACCACACGCCAGTGCCCATTGTTCAGAGTATTCATTCTGTAGATTGAGACAAAAATTAAATGAAACTCCAATGCGTCACCAACAAGAAACATAAAGGTCATAAATCAAATTACTTAAAGAAATTCAGAATTTCAGCCAAGAGATTATACCTCACTTTCTGGGCAGACTAAGGATATGAAAGAAGCAAATGGAGGACTAGTCTTATCATAGGCTAGTAAACCATCAATAATACATGAAATAATTGGAAGTACAACTGCATGCCCATGCTCTGGATGATGAAGGACAAACGTCGCTGAAAATCATGAAAATATATAAATTATTGTACATAAACAGAAATAAATTCCAAGCAATAATATCCACATTGAATCAACCACGATGTAACTAACATGAGTTTAAGCATAAATACCCAAAACATCATCAAAGAGGAGCATTTCCTTTGAAGGATAACGGTTTCGGATCAACTATCAGAAAAATACAAACCAGTTAGCACCTGATACAAAACCTTGCACTTTATAAGGTACCAAAGAAACTAAAATTTCCTTGAGTCTAATATGTGATATAGCTCGTATATATTTCTCTTTATGATTTCTTGTCTTTCCCATAAACTAAGTTTTACGAGTCGTACCTCAGCAATATCATCAGGAAATTGCTCTGATGTAAACTGAACAAAGTACTCAGCATAGGCAGCAATTTGATCCTAGGTATAAGCAGACATAAATGAAACAGTAGTTAAGAAATGAGACCTTTCCAATTGCAGAAGATGAAAGAATTCATAACTATATATATCTGATAATATTTACATTCCAAATAATCAATAAGACTACACTAGTTTATGGCTATAATATGGACAGAACACGTATCTAATCATTTCAGTTTGAGAAAACATGCAACAAAACTGAGAAAACATGCAACAAAACTGAAAAAGGAAGCACCAAGCAGAAATGGTTAGTCCATGCAAAAGAGAGTCCACCGAATTGATAATGAATAATACCCATTGCCAAAATCAGTATTAGGTAATCAAAGTAAATTTGAAAATGTAGTTATTCTTGAGAAAGCATATTTTCTTGACTTTGATTGCAATACAACGAAATTTATTTTTTCAGTTCAAAATGTTCAGAATAACTACAATCATGTTATAACATATCGATAAACATGACACCATTTTAACTCAGTCTCTCTCAAAAACATTCACGCAGAACTTTCAAAATAGCTGGAAGGTCTTGAGATATTCATTTCTTCTCCAATCTCCATCAAATGCTTCATCATGAAGATTGAAATATTATTCTACGTAAAAACATGCACAGATTTTGGGTTACTGAAAAATATAGTGCAACTGATAATTCACCACCCTGGACTAAGAATAAAAGTAGATCAGAAGAATATCTAAGAAAACAATAGGCATTAACAAGATACCTTTTTTGCTGACCATCCGGTGGGGGAGGCCAGAACAATGAGGAAAACTGAAGGCGGTCAATCCACCTTTCACCGGAAGCAGACATTGAAGGAAATATCTAGTTCCAAGGTATTTCCTTATGCCTCAATAACAAAACCAACTACCCAAAGTCGAGCATAAACCAGCTTCCAATCAAAAGTCAAATATCCTAATTCAACATTCCTCTTCAGGGTGCACAGCTATTGTTACCTGAGCATTTACAAGCAAAAAATCCAAATCAAACTTTAAAAGCATTTTGAAACCAAAAATAAATAAAATCCAATAAGAACGCAGCAAACTGCATCTCCCTGAAAATGGCAGCAGCTTACTACAAAAGGTGTGTTGCACGACAGACTGAGTCCTTCCACTTGTGATTTCGTAATTTTGATTTCACTGTAAACCCAGAAAAATTAAATGAATTTCCCTTTCGAAATATCAAAATCAGTGAGGCGATATATCTGAAACAGAGCCCAACCAAACCCAACAAGAATCTCCAAGCCAAACAAAAGAAACAGAGAATGAACACGAGCCTCCGTGGGCAATGAAGCAATTCTCTTAACAACCAAACAGCTGAAAAATAGTCTTCAAAAGCTCAAAACAGAACCAAGAGACTCACCCCAAATATCTCAGCACAGCACAGATTAATCCCACAGAAACCCAAAAAACTAATAATCGAAAAAAAGAAAACCCTTCAAAAGAAGAATCAAAACGAAGAACAAACTGTCTGCCCACCCAAAAAAAAAAAAATGCAACAGAAAATTAAAAAAAAAAATAAGTACCAGTGCAGTTGTAGTTTGCAGAACTGATCGGTGGTCAAAGTAAAATTTCGGAGAAGAGACGGAGAATCCGGGAAAATGGCAAGAGAGAAAAAAAATTGGGAGTGATTTTATGGGGGAAAGTATTAGGGGTGCATGAAATATTAGTTGAAGATTGAGAGGTGGTGGAAGAAGGAGAGAGGGAGAGAGAAAGAGAAGATCTTTAGGAGGGCTGAGAAGCTCGGAATGAGATCATACGTGGCGATGATATTTTCCTCTCGCTATAGAGAGGCTCATTGTCGCGTCATGTTGCTTCAAAGCATGCTCCCTCCTCTCCCACCATCCATGCCTCTATTTGCATACATCCCTGCCCACATCCATACCCACATAACCATTCATCATCAACTAATAAATCAATCATTAATTCATTACGCCAAAAACCAAGACTTCAACAATTCATGCTCATTTTATGCTTTTTATTTAAGAGATGAATAACTAATTCTTAAGAATTAAAAAAATATAGCTCAGGGCTTCAGGCTAATTGAAATAATAAATATTTCCTCCGATTTTATACATAAAATGCAGGTTTTTGTGATAGGTGCAATGTCTGAAATTTTAGTCAATTTTTTTTGTCTTCAGAGTATTTTTAATATGCTTTTTGTCTGCAAGGTTATTTTTAATAGCAAGATATATTTTTATATATTCATTGTTATTGACAAATTTTAGCTAACTTTTTTATTTATCTACGTAATTTAGTTATTTTTATATTGCATATAGAGTATGTTAAAAATACAAATTTTTTTAGAAATACCCACATTCAATAATTAGTTAGTGTTTTTTAACAAGTGATGTCATTAAATACTCTTTTCAATGAAGGTACGAAAGAAAAAAATTTAATAAATACTACAAGTAAAAGGTTGTCGATTCTTATAAATAAATCAAGAAAACCGAAAACAGAACTGTTGTAAAAATGTACGGAAGGAATGTTAGGGTATAATCAATATATTTTTGCGACAATTATTATGAGGTGCCAAAAAAATAATTATCAAAAAATTTTAATGACAAGTGAGTAATTATTATTTTTTACACCCGAACTTATCATTACATGTTGTATGAGATGTCTTAATAATTATGTTTCTTCCGTGAGACTTCATAGCAATTTTTCTTACATTTTTCACTTGAACATGCTTGCAATATACTCCCTTCATCCCTTATTACAAGAAACAACTATCAAAATCATGTAATTCAAAATTTTGGTTAAATTTAGTGAGAAAACAATAGATGAGCAAGATATATACATATTTTTTTAATTATATTCTTATTTCTAAAGAAAGTACATGAAAGATATGAGTAAAATTTATTACAGAGAGATAAATAAGTGGCATTTTGACAGGAAAAAAAAAAGGAGATAATAAGTGATATATATTTAATGAAAATAAAAATAAAATACTAGTTTAAAATTTCAAACTTAGAGAATTCATTTCTTATATTTGGAAATATTATTACGAGAAAGACTATTTTTTTATGAAAAGCGCCAAAGGCGCCAAGGCGGTACAATTTATAGAAAGTAATAAGTAAATAGTGTATCTCACCTTAAAAATGGTTTTCTCCTTCTCCTTCATGTTTTTCATTAGAAATACATTGAATTAAATTTAAATGTTTGTGATTTGATATTTTATAAAAATATTATTAAAATATTATATTTTTTATTTCGTAAGTTTAATAAAGAAAGAGTGAAAAAAATCACTCTATAAATTATTGAATTTGAACTGTTTAAATTTTATAATATGGTAAAGATGAGAAGGAAAGATTTAAGGGGCGGAGGGGAAAAAAAAAAGTGGAGCGATTATTAACCTAATGCTTTTATAATATTTTCATGTTTAGTTATATGATATATTTATCTTTTTTTTCCTCATAGATTGCACTTGAACAATATAATGTACAAAAAGTGCAATACAAGAGATCCAAATCCCACATAAATCGTGGAAATCAAGCCGACAATATATCCCTACATTATTATCTAGCAAATTCTGTATATGTAATAAATATGTTCTATTTACTGTAAGATTTTTACTATTGCTTTTCATCGAACATCAGAAATCTTCCAAGTATAAAGGACTTCTACAATAATCGGATTTAGGGTAATATGTTTGTAACTGCAATATTTCTTACAATCCAAAAATGAAACAATTTTAATGAAGCGTCAATTAATATTAAATTATTTTATTAATAATAATAAAGGGCGTTGGCTAATAATAATAATAATAATAATAATAATAATAATAATAATAATAATGTATTTTTATTATTTAATTTACTATAATTAAAATATATGTAAATAACCAAAATTAGCTCATCTATTAATATATAAAAGCATAGTACAAGGCTTGAGTAGCTGACAGCACGACATGTGGCATTGTCTATGGATAGATAAATGTTCTTTTTTTTTTTAACAAAAAATCCCACCTTTTTTAACTATTTTTTTTGTGGTAGTTTTTTAAATATATTTGGATAATTGGTGGTTTTTAAATTGAGTATGAGGATATAGGGTTATATATGATCGTGGCAATTTTTTATTATATATTTAAATATCTTTAAATGCAATTTTCTACAAGAAATCCCTAATAAAATCATATAATTGTTTCTTTTATTAATTATTTAATAAACCAAAAATAAATCTAAAAACGTGTGGGTATAATCACAAAATCCGGATTTTGCGTACCAGTTTTTATTATTATATATTTAAATGCAATCTTCTAAAAGAAATCCCTAATAAAATCATATAATTGTATCTTTTATTATTATTAATTATTAATAGACTAAAAATACCAGTAAGCCACACCCTTAGAGTGTGGGCATCATCACACTTTGTTAAGTTTCATTTGACAGCATGTTTTTGTAACCCACATTCGTGATGTGGTCTCGTGTGCAAATCATGCCCATGTTGTATGACGCTTGCCTTGACGGTTATCTCCTATAGTATCTGCTCATAAAAGTGTGAGCACGATTCTAATGTTCCTTCATGTTCTTCTCCCATTGTTGATAGTGTCAGTCTAGATTTTGTGATTATAGGTGTTATGGCTCCCATTCTTGATGCAATTCGTTCCCTTAATCCTAGTAGGAAGAATTGGCATATTAGAGTTCGTGTAGTTTGTCTGTGGACCATGTCTGGTTGTTATTCCCATGAAGAACTCTCCTCCATTGAGATGCTCCTTCAAGATGAGGATGTGAGTAATGCATTAGTATCATTCCCTTTCCCAACATGTGGTATAAATCAATGCTTCCTGTGTGTGCAGGGTGATAACATACATGCTCAAGTTAAGAGTTCCTTCTTACTCGTCATTTGAATAACTTTACAGAAGGAAAGCTTTGTGTTATTTCCTACTTCATGGTTACACCAAATTATGGGTCATACAGGACAACTAATCACCCATATCAGATGAACTTCATGTATTCCACTGTAGTCCGTCCCCTTCCGGAAGATGATTGTATTCATCAGTTTGGATTTGCCTTCCGTTCATTCGCTCATATCTTATCAAATCAGTTTGATGATCGCTACTTGATTGGTCTATGTTGTGTTGATATTTATCTTATTCTGATCTCATTTATGGCTTTTTATCAATCCTACAATTCTCGAGGTTGATGATTTTATTACCAAGTATGTACTGCCTACATAAAATTATTTGAATTCAATATTCACATATTTCCTCCATGAGACAATACATCTTCCAAATTGGTCAGGTTAAAATCTGTGGGCATAGATATCAATGAAGCTCCCACACGTATCGTGCCACAGCCCATTAACTTTATTGAAGATGAAATGTTAAGCACAGCTTATCGGCGCAAGATTTCAGAGCTAAGTTCAGCACCCATTGTATGTATTTTCCAGTTAAAGCTATAATAATATTAATAACAAGAAAGTATATTTCATGGATTGTCTTGTGTTGTAAAAGCATTTCTTTATTAAATACAGGATACAGTTGTGTTAGTTCTTGCTGACATAGTTGGTATCTGTTTTGATCGTGGATGGTATTATTATTGTTGTAAGAACTGTGACAGATGGCTATGGATTTTATTGCCTGAATTGCTCTCAAATAATAGAGATTACATTTCCGAAGTTAGTATAAGCGTCTATCGTCATGCAAAATTCAACTTAGATCTATGGGTTACATTACCTGTTTTGTTGTCATCTGGTTATGTAGATTTATGATGCACTACAAAGTTAAGGATGAGTCTAGTACATGCACTTTTGTTATTTTTCATTTTTTTTTTCCGTTAAAGCCACAATTCAAAATTCTATCAAGATTTGGCATGTGTTGCCTTTGGGCAAACTACAGCTTCCTACTTTTCAAGATCCACCAGTTCAATTGTTCAACTTATTATCTGACATCACCCACAAAGCAATCATTTTCATAT